CAATGGTAGCATTGTGTTTTTTAAATTTATTTATTTATTTATTTTTAACTATTAGGACACTGATGATGATCTGGATGATGCTAATATAATCCACAGTTATATTATATTATATTATATTATATTATATTATATTATATTATATTATATTATATTATATTATATTATATTATTATTTTTATTTTATCAATTTTTCCGTAATTAAGTATAATTGTAAAATAAATTTGACAAAGTTAATTATTAACTTTTAATTTTCTTTTAATATTCTTATTAACTTTTAACAATATTTTAATTGTTAATGTAGTAATTGATAATTGTTCATGATATAATGTATAATGGACTACTGCAAAAAGTGAATTGGTAGTAGAATGAAAACATTAGAATGAGTACATTTTTGTTTCAACATTGATGTCAAAATGGAATGACATCTTATTTTTCGGGCAATGCATCTCTTTGTAGATCTGATTTTGAACTGTTAAGACGATGAGCTACCTGGAGATATTTAACGTTAAAATTACTGTCCATATATATTTATACAGTACATGGTATATATCCCGGCCAGGGCTGTTGATTTAAACCCAGTTTGTTCCTTATCCTAAGGTTGCTTTATTGGGAACACCAGGTCAAAAGTTCGTTTTTATCTTTCTTTATGCCTCTCTTGTTTTCCCCTCAGTTGTCTGTTTATTTCGTTTCACAGTGCTCATTGATCACAGTTTTTTTCCCCCGGACTTTCTCTTTCTCATAATAACTAGGTCTCTTTCGCCATATTCAAACAGATTCAGTGTCTTAAGTAATGCAATTTTTTTCTTAGATTTCATCCTCACTGAAGGTTACTTACTTAACAATGATGTTTGGGTTCATGTGCATACCTTTGATCTGCCAAACCTGTTATAAAAATAACAGTGAAACAGCTTTACACTTGATGCTTCAACTCAACGCCCACAGGTAAATCACAGCCTACGAAAGAGAGCAGCATTCCTCCATTTGAAGGTAAGAGCTGTGTCTTTGAACTGTCATTTGACTGTGTTATCTCTCTGATCATGTTACACACTCTTCCCAACTGGCTCATGTGAAGACCTCTGACCTCCCTGACCTCTCACACACCTTATTATTTAATCAGACATTCAAGCCAGGCAACAGGTGCCATCTTTGTAGCGTGACATTTGACCTTAGCACTAAAAACAACCCATGTCTGCGCCATCCCCTTGTGAAAAAGAAGTGTGCTTAAATGTATTGAATGAGCACTTGTAGTGTACTTCAAATATTAAAAGGATTATATATTTGTATACAATATATTATTGAAATGAACGTGTACTTAAAGAGTGTACTTTTGTGGCTACTGTATGTTCCTTAACATACTTCATTACACTTTAAAAAGTGCATTTTTTAATTGTCAAATTGAAAGTTTTACTTTAAAGTACATTTCAAATTATCATGTTTTTTTGCTAGGCTTTAAATATGTAGATGTTTTGATGGTTTTATATTTAAAGTTAATATATTTTATACTAAATTGCAACTTCATTACAAATGTGCAATTACAAATATATTTTTTAAATACATCACATACAAGTTTCAATAGAAGGGACATTAAAGTATATTTTAATTTACCATAAATACTTGTCAGTACATGCAGCAGTACACTTTAAACATATTTCATAAAAGTAATTAAGAGATTACATATAAAGATGTACCTAAAATCCTACATAAGTGGGTCAAAAAGGCACTCTAAAGTTCAACTAATTGCATTTAATATCAATTTAAACTATAATACATTTTCATTTAATTGCAATTAACTTGCAATTTAATGTCAGAAAACATAACATTTATTTCGCACAAGTATATTCTTTATTATTTATACTTTATTATTTAGTACATTATTTTGGCTATAAGTGCTTTAATTTTAAAAGTATGCTAATGTGTAAAGTTGTAACACACTCTAGTGCTAGTGCAGATTACAGAAGATCCATGGCAGTCTTGACTCTACATTTCAAGAATTTGTCTGTAAGTCTTTACTAAACTGATATTTTAACACCAGACGCTGAAATAAAAACACCTGCATTCAATATTGAGATATTGCTATTGATTTAAGGTGCGTGTCTGAGTGATTTTAATAACATCAGCCACAAAAATAAGGAATAGTAATAAAGTCAATCATTCTTCATTACTGTGTAACATTTTCATTACTGTTTATTTTGACATATTTTCTTGAAATACGTTGGCTCAGTTTCTTCTGAAATGTTTTGAACAGTGATTATACTTCAAGTTCTGCATGGGCCTGCATACTGCCCAACTGTTTGTTCTCCAGCATTTGGAAGCCCCTCCTTCAGTTTCTGGCAACAAACGTCACCTTTTCTGCTCTCTGTCTACTTCAGTGTGTCTAGTTGTTGACAGATGTCGTGTTATTCATGAATATTCGGCGCAGAGGCAGCGAGCCTGGCACTATAGACAAGCCTTTGATCCTCGTTTCAAAGAGGTGGCTGTCTGTGGCCCTGCCAGAGATGCCCCGTGACTCACTGTAGATTTGCCGCAGCGACCTGTTTGTTTTAGATGAGCCGCAGAGCCCCGTTGCTCGCAGGGATGCGGGAAGAGCGACAGCCACCTGCATTAACGCCCACGCTGCAGTTCGGCAGTGAATATATTAGCCGCATGACCGCAGTACATCAATAAGGTTTAATGTGTATGTATTAATTAAAAAATTAGACGTATATCTGTGCTTTCTGACAGTGATGTCAACAATGTCATGCACATGCATGAGTAAACAGGAAGCAGGATGCTGACAGCCTGACTGCATTAACAAACACAAACGGTACAGTAATCTCTCATCGCCAAGCATGACGATACAATGAGCACATCTCATGTTCCAACAAGATTACAGGGTATGTGTTTCATTAAAACTCTGACAGGCAAATACACTGACACACTGTCTGTTCAGAGCTCAGCAAGTCTGTGTCGCTTAATCTGTGGTGACATTCCCAACACCACACAAAAATAAAAAATGTAATAAAATAAAAAAATGGTGAACTGTAAACCAACCCATCTGTCTGGCCGATGTTACTGCCTGAGCATTTCGAAAGCATTCGCAGGTGGGTGTCTGCAGTGCTCTGTGACACTTTCCCATTAAAAACAATGAGAAGCCGCCATCTGCAGTCTGAGAAGCTACTCTGTGCCCATGGCCCCTCTCGACCCCTGTAAGAAAAAAGGAAAAAAAAAAAAAAACACACCCGGTAGTACATTCATTGCCGGGATCTTTTCATCCCGTCTGCTCCTCCAGTGTCGCTAATGATATTGGTTTCTCTCATCGAGGCATTTGAGAGGCAACGCGGTCTCAGGCTTTCTTTTGTCATGGTGAAGGAATGGAGGGTATCCTCTTCGCATCTGCCTCTCCGAGAATGCACTACAGAAGAGTGAGGTCTTAGCTGGCACCCATCGATTCTCATAGTTCCTCACCTCTAGGTAGAGAACAATGGAGTTCTGAGCAGTCCTCAACAGCTAGGTTTCCATAGGCCAAAATAATTGCCTAAAGAGCACCTGGAAATATTTTGTGAGTGACACTCCTTAGTGGATGAGGCTGAGATGTTTTTGTCAAAGTTATTTTAGATCTCACAGACTTTATTGTCTCATTCAATCCATCCATCCATTCACACTGCCTTTCAAAAGTTTGGAGTTGGTAAGATTTAATGTTTGTTTGTTTGTTTATGTTCACCAAGGCTGCATTTATTTGATAAAAAAATAGTAAAACTAAAAACAGTAAAATTGTGTAATAATATTACAATTTAAAATAAATACCCTGTCCCTTTAATCACCGACACTAAAGTGCCCTTTCGCCCGCGATTTCCACAGAGGGGGACCCCCCGATTGTGCCCTCGTCGTGCCACTTCTCTCCTGCCCCTCTGGAGGTCTGTGCACGCCAATGGTAATGCCTTTATAAAATGTCTCTTGGATGTTTATTTCTAAGTTCATTAAAAATATTTCAAAACATTAATTTTGCTTACAATCTTTGTATAGTTTTATGTCAGTTTTAAAGCCTGTACTTTATAATCTGAAGATATGTTTAGTATTTGAGGATGTGTCCTGTATTAATTAACAATAGAAAGTACATGTTTCTGGCCTTTGTGTACTTTAATTTAATTGTATCAGAGTTGATTAAAGTTATGAATTTAATTACCACAGATAATTACTGCCAATAAGTCAAAGATGTTTGAGGCAACTTTCACAGCTTCAAACTCCACATATTCCTGAATAAATGAGCAAAAAACAATTATAATTGTGTTGCAATTATCCCCGCTCTCTCTAATTATGTGGATGTTGCCTAAGTTGAACTAAAGTCTACTGTGATGGACAGTAGAAGCAACTGTTAGATGAATGACAACAAAGAATGATATTACACTTGTGTAACTTTTGGAGGTCCTCATGACTATGTTCTCTGTGTGATTTAAGGGCTCTGTCCAGATGTAATGCTTAAATCAAGACTGGAGATTGGAAGGAAATCGGCCTTCATTGAAACCTCTGTGGTTCAATTTCACAATTCTCTCAATTTCACAATTCTCAAAAACTCTGTTGACCCAGTTTGCTAGTGAGAAAAGCCATTAGTAGCCAGTCAGTGAAGCCCAAAGCAGATGCTTCTTATTGTTATCATCCTAACTATGAGCAAGAACACAGGGGTTTTGGCAGGGCTTCTGTGCGCTCAGTAGAAAACAAAAAGAAAAAGGGTGGGAGAATAAAGCAAGCCAGAGAAAGAGGAGGCTTGGGGCCTGAATGCAGTCTGTTGCCCTAGGCCATCTTTATGTGTTGTACAGTGCTGACAGTTGGTCGTATTATTTTGTAAAAAGAGCTTATTTGACTGAATAAACTTCAATAAAAGAAATTATGTGGCTTAAATTTAAAAGAACAATCAAATCTGCCACATACAGTGTTATCAATCAGTTTATTAATGAAGATTGTTTTTACATTTGCATAAAAAATGAATACTAGTTCTTGTTTAGTACAAGACTAACCATAGCATTAAACCAAGCTTTGTTTACCTCATTAATAACAGTGTTCTACACAGACCTGTCATTACCTCATGTTAATCAGATGATGGATTCGTGTACGCTAGCCTCAGTGTGCAGTAGCACCAGACACACACACACACACACACACACACACACACACACACGCACATTTGTTTTCCTGTCATGGTTGTGGCTT